TAATTGTTTATCAGCCAAATGGCAGGGTCCTTTTAAAGTTATTAAGAAAATTTCAGATGTGGACTATCTTATTGATGTCAGAGGACATCATAAAGTATACAATCTAAACATGCTTAAAGAGTTTAAGTCTCGCCCTGGTGTTTTGTCTGAAGTGTTAGAAGCAGCTGAGGCACCCGACAATAATTTGCAAGAAGAAGAAATGGAGGCAGCATTCTGCCACGTCATTGACGAAGAGAGCAATGATGTCGAGGTGGACACTGCTCATCAATTGTCCCTACCCGAACTGGTATCCAGAGAAACATGGAGAGACGTGGAAGTCGCGCCCTCGGTTCCACCAGATATGGTGCGTCGTATAAAGCGTATTTTGGCTACATTCGACAAAACATTATCGGACATACCGGGTAGAACGACAGAAGCAGTGCATTCCATTGAATTAATAGATCATAAACCCATCAAAATGAAACCATATGTTATACCTTTTCATTATCGGGATGCCGTGGATAAGGAAATCGATAACATGATTAAGTGGGGTATAATTGAACCGTCGACATCACCCTATGCTTTTCCAATAGTGGTTGTCCGAAAGAAAGATGGAAGCCTTCGGATCTGTATAGATTTCCGAAAATTGAATCGAATCACGGTTGTAGATGCTGAAAAAATATCCCAAATATGGAAGATATGTTTGTTGCATTGTCGAAGGCTAGGTATTTTACAAAGTTAGATCTTACCAAGGGTTATTGGCAGATTCCCTTAGACGAGGATTCCAAAAAATACACCGCGTTTCAGACGAACAAAGGTTTGGTTCACTTCAACTATATGGTCTTCGGGCTTTCCGGAGCACCGGCGACGTTCACCCGCCTCGTACGCAAGTTGTTACAGGGTCGTAATGATGTTATTCATTATCTGGATGACATTCTGCTTTTCCATAATGACTTAGACGAATATATTCGAGGTCTAAAGACATTACTGGAACGCATAAAATCGTTTAATCTGACAGTTAGACCAACTAAAGTGAAGGTCGCTTTCGAGGAGGTCACGTTCCTCGGTCATGTTGTAGGACACGGGGTCCGTAAACCCGAAGCCACCACGGTGGGTAAGATTCTTAACATCCCTATACCAAAAACGAAGAAACAAGTGCGTGCGTTATTGGGTTTATGTAACTTTTATGCCAAATTCATTCCTAACTATTCAACCATTACAGCCGTGTTGTCCTCATTGACGATGAAAGGAATGCCAGCGAAGGTTATCTGGACGAGAGAGTGCGAGGACGCGCTCCAGAGATTACAAAAGGCATTTAATAGTAATCCGTTCTTGTGTTTGCCAGATTTGTCTCTGCCGTTTTATGTATCCACAGATGCGTCTGATGTTGCGATTGGTGGGACGTTGATGCAATCCAGAGAGGGCACCCTACTTCCTGTTGTTTATGCCAGCAGGAAGCTGTCTCCTACTGAATGCCGTTACAGCGTGGGCGAAAGGGAAGCACTAGCCATTTTTTGGGCAATAGGGAAGTTTACCCAATTCCTGTATGGCAGTCACTTCTTTGTCTTGACAGACCATCGTCCACTCGAAGTCTTGAACTCAGCACCCATCAAAAACTCACGCATATTAAGATGGACAATGTTTCTACAGACGTTCAACTTCACAGTTATTTATCGCCCAGGGAAAGAGAATGTCTTAGCCGATTTTTTGTCGCGCACCCAGAGGCATTGGAAGACGATTGATGTTTATTTGTTCAATTTACATGATATTTAAAATGCATGATGTTATGAAAAATAATTTGGATAACAATAATGTTGTTGATAATAATGCTTAGTGAAGTCAGGAATCTATATTTTGCATGCATTTAGTAATGTATTGACGATATATTGAGGAGTGAGTGTGTGTGTATTCAAGTGTTCTTATTTGCTCTCTCGTACTGGTGCTGTTTGCCGCGACATGACTCCAGTTTTCCGACCGAGACTACGACAAGCCCTAGTGCTCGGTCGTCCTGGGGAGGGGGGAAAAGCTGTCGCGTGCGAATGTGCACCAGAACGCACCAGTACGGAGTGAGCAAATAAGACGTCAAAACAATACGTAACGTTGTTATGATTTATTGTTGTCAAAGCAGTTGATGTTTATAGTCCGAAGGAGACGGACGTGGGAATCCTTGAGGACGCTTTACCCCGGGATCCCACGGAAGCAAACGTTATATAAAGTTGGATCCTTGAGGACGTTTTACCCCGGGACTCCAAGACCTCAGCAGGAAGCTGGTGAGCACTACATTCTCGGCAGCAAGCCGGTATACTTTCATTGCTTAATTCGGACTTGTCCGAGGACCAAGATGATTGTCATGATCTCAAGGTCGGACTGCGACCTATCGTAAGGACATATCCATCCATGGATGTACGAGTGAGCTTTGGTTGAACGAGTTGATTATTGATTGCATACGTATTCTTGTGTTGATCATTGCTGATTGTATATATCAATACAACCATTGGAACTTAACGCATAGCGTTCGAGCTCTACATTTTGAAAGCATTGAAGTAACTACTGTTTTACCCCTACTTGGCCTATTTCATCTTGGTACCACACACTCAGCATGAAGCTCTGCACGTCCCAATGAAGGTCCGCACGTATCACCAGGTCAACCCGACCTCAGCGTGATGCTGACTACATCACCCACCGAGTTCCTACTGGTCTATAAAAATCTGCGTCTAGGATCATCTGCCCATTACTCCATTGGCGTGGAAAGGGACCTTTACTTCTTTGTTTTGACTTCAGTCGGTTTCAAGCGTTTGTGTGGTTCATACACAGCTTTTGGCTTTAGCAAAGGGTGTGTCCTAATTACGTCCAGCTCCAACAGTAAGGCCAATATAGTCTAGGGAAATCCCAGTTCTGTTAGGCTGGTCTGAGGTCGGTCTGTGCTCACCATTGTTATCCAGTAAATTTATACACACATTAAACTACAGTGTAATTAAATTCTAACAAATTTTATTGAATGAATTATCAATATGAAGATAAATAAGTGGCCATTAGAAAATATAATAATAATAAAAATGATAATAATAAAGTATACAATAAAATATACTGTAAGTTAATTAAACTGTAGTTTAATTTGTGTATAAATTTACTCGATCACAAAGGTGGGCATAAACTGGCCGTGGACAAGACAATCAAAACGGGAATTTCCTTAAACGTGTTCGGCCTTATTGCTGGAGCTGGCCGTGGCCCTAAGGTACCATTCTTCTCTATTATTTGATAAGACCCTGTAATGTTGTCATTGCAACAATAGAAAAAAGCATTCTAAGCATGGTGTAAGACGACCGTTAGTCTGAGCCATGGGTGAGGAAAGTCCGACCCACATGCCGTATGAGGCTTGCGAAATCACTTGTCCTGATCATGTAAGGAGCGTCAGTAGCAACATCATCAGCGCCAGGTAATATGAACCACCTCACCAAAGAGAAGCAGTTCCAGTCCTCCAATTACGGAATGACTGATTGACTGACGTTCATCCCTACCAGGACGGCACGACGAGCGACAAACACCCGGTGATAAAAAGTGCTACCATTCGGATGAAAATCAACTAGGTGCTAGTCCCAGCAAACCCGTTTAACCTGTTAGGTCAACAACAGACGTGATAGGGGTTTTAAAATAACAACAAACAGCGTCCCACTTTGGGACGGGGGCGTAGCTATTAAGGATGAGATAATTAAATGCTTGACCAAATACTTGCAGGCTAACTTGTAAGTTCATAATTATGTATTGCATGGGAAGTAAATACCAATGCTCCATGCCAGAATTCGGGTTTCTCGCCTCTTGTGTAGGCTGTGTACCATCTGATGTCCTTTGTCTCTGCTATGTTACCAAACCATTGTTTGATGTGTTCACTTATTGCTCCGTTAAGAGAGAGAGAGAAAGAATAAGAATAGGACAGCAACAGCACAGTAGCAACAGCACGAAAGCACCAATAGAATAAAAGAATGAGGGAGAAGAAGAGGGTGATGGTAAGGAAGAAGAAGGGGATAAACAACATATTAACAGGAGGAAGAAGATTAAGTGGACGAAGAAGAAAAAGTCGCAGTACCACATTTAAAAGAAACCCCCGTTGCTGCAGCACAAAAACTCGCAGTCTAGGCGTGAGACGGTTCCTGTCAGATATAGCCACGCCCATTAACTACAACAAACTAGTGCAATGCCCTTAAAAACAAAACAACAACAACAAGTACACTGAGTGACACGATGACATCTAGAAAGATTTAAGGAGAGAAAGTTAATGACTGAGACCGTAAATCGATTGTTGACATTTTGTCACACGAGACCGTCGGGACCGGATGAGACTCAGCGCACCAACATGGTGCTGCTGGGTTCTATTAGGTCCGTGGGTGAACTTCACTTTGTGCAGCTGCTAACACTGAATCAGTTGAGTGTAGGTTTTTTAATGGAAGCAATTGCCAGCTCTGTGCCTTACTGTACTGGCTCAGTCGTTAACGGACTAGCTCTTTACTCCGTCATTACCCTAAGCAAATACAAGTCCAACTATGTCTGATGTATATATATATATATGTATGTATGTATGTATGTATGTATGTATGTGTGTGTGTATGTGTGTGTGTATGTGTGTGTGTGTGTGTGTGTGTGTGTGTGTGTATGTGTGTGTGTGTGTGTGTGTGTGTGTGTGTGTGCGTGCGTGCGTGTGTGTGTGTGTGTGTGTGTGTTTGTGTGTGTGTGTGCGTGCGTGCGTGCATAGCTGTGTGAGTTAGTTTTAAAAGCTTGCCAAGTTTCAACAGACAAAGACTCTCTTTCTTAATCTTTCCCTGTCTTTCTTTCTCTCTGTCCGTCTCTCTCTCTCTGTATCTCTCTGTCTCTATTTTTCTGTCTCTGTATCTCTCTCAGTGTCTGTCTTTATCTATGTGTTTCTGTCACTCTCAGCGCGTCTCTTCCTGCCCCTCTCTCTCTCTCTCTCTCTCTCTCTCTCTCTCTCTCTCTCTCTCTCATGTACACAAACACACACGGGTACTCACCCTTAATGTAAATCATGGCGCGGTAGGAGTAAGCCACCCCCCACTCATTCTCGGCCACGCACTCATACGTGGCCTCGTCCGACTCCTGGCTGTTCCTGATCTGTAGATAGCCTGCGTGGAAAGAATGAAAGACGATATAACCTACCCGGAGCTAAGCACGTGTACACTCAACACAACTAAACCAGGGCAGCACAAAGAAAACACCCGCCCCGCAGTGATGATGATGATGATGTTGTGGGAGATGGGGGAGAAAGATATGTGAAGACGTTTGTGTCACGCTCCGTGAAACCGGACCGCTGTCTGCAGGGAAATGAATGGAAATCTGACAGTCATGTTTGTTTCAGCAAATAAATATACACCAATGTTTACACAAAATTAATGTGGTTTTCTCGACCTTTAGCGGCTCTCTGGGTGAGGTAGGAATTATGAGGAGGGAGAACGTGTAGAGCTGACTTGATGACTGCTGCGAGCGCTGTGAAACTGTCATCGCCAGGATGTTGTCTTGCAAAAAAGCCACTGTCAGAATCACTGGTGATTTCAGGCGTTTGTCTCAAATCTTTGTTTGCTGTTAAGACGACGCCACATGTCGTCTGTATGAGGCATCCTTGTGATCTTTTCCCATTAAATGTGTCAGCTGTCACCACATTTTTTATAGCTTCTAATATGTCACAACACGCCCGGAAAATGACAAACTATCCACCCATTAAGATGAGACAGTCATATCCACACATAAAGATAAGACAGTCATATCCACACATAAAGATAAGACAGTCATATCCACCCATTAAGATGAGACAGGGACATAAAGATAAGACAGTCATATCCACCCATTTAGATAAGACAGTCATATCCACACATTAAGATAAGACAGTCATATCCACACATAAAGATAAGACAGTCATATCCACACATAAAGATAAGACAGTCATATCCACCCATTTAGATAAGTCAGTCATATCCACCCATTAAGATAAGACAGCCATATCCACACATAAAGATAAGACTGTCATATACACACATAAAGATAAGACAGTCATATCCACACATTAGGATAAGACAGTCATATCCACACATTTAGATAAGACAGTCATATCCACACATAAAGATAAGACAGTAATATCCAAACATTAAGATAAGACAGTCATATCCACACATTTAGATAAGACAGTCATATCCACACATAAAGATAAGGCAGTCATATCCACACATAAAGATAAGACAGTCATATCCACACATAAAGATAAGACAGTCATATCCACACATAAAGATAAGACAGTCATGTCCACACATTTAGATAAGACAGTCATATCCACACATAAAGATAAGACAGTCATATCCCCACATAAAGATAAGACAGTCATCAGCGAAAAGAGGCGTGAAAAATCGTCCTTGACCTGACCGGACATGTGCAAACTGAAGTCAATGGAACCAATAAGTACAGTAAAATAACCAGGCCACACTAGGTGAAACAGAGCAGTCGTTCCTAAAATGTATAAAGAAAGAAAAAAAAACTGCATGAAGAGAAATTACCGTAAGACACAACATAACCAATGGAAATAACGGAGACAGATCGAGTATATAATTCACAATAAAACAGACCAATACCAGCTTTAGATAGAAAATTTGAAAAAGACCATGTTTGGATTACATTGACAGACAAAAATGAAATAGCTCGACCACCTAGTGAGATTGTAGCCAGAAAAAAACTGCACATGGGCCATTTTACAGAGAACATGGAAGGAGGGCGAGCGGAAGACCAAGAAAGGGATGGATCCTGCTGAAGAATCTGAAACCTACAAAAAAGGTGAAGAAATCCATCACTCGAACCGCACGAGAAGCGGAGGAAAAATACAGAAAACCAAGGCACTGAGCTACAACATGGTATTAGTCAGACGACAAAAGAAAGAACAATGAAACAGACCGAGCTACTAAATACACACTCCTGAATCAAACAGTAACGACAGATGTTCAGCGTGAATGCTGTTTTTTTTTTTTTTTTAACGAGAATTATAATGATAAATAACGACAGCTAACCTAATACCCAAAAATATATAACTTTAACTTTAGAAAATAACACTTTGTACGTCAATGTGGTCAGTGGCAGTTATTAGTTACATTATATGAGCAATGGTCGACTCTGTGGCTAAGTCGATGCGAACGCTTCTAATCCTGGGGTGCCGGGTTGGATCCCAGCTGCGGGCCATGCGCCTTGCGTTGGTTTCAACAGTGGCATCAGGGGGCAGAGCGTCCAGGAAGCAATGGCAAACTACTGGATGGAAATTTGCCTAGAGAAACCACACAACAGCCAGCGGCTGCTGGGGTTGGTTCTGCAACGTCTTGTAAAGGATACGCAACTAACCTATATGAGCAATGAATAAAAGTGACCAAAAATATATAGAGGAATTCAAAATGTTATGAAACGATGACAGCCTTCACCTAGATTATTGGAATAGGCACAGACAGTTTACAGTGGAAATCAAAACTGCTGAAAATTATGAATAAGTGTAGCCTTCTCGTGGCTCGATCGCTGACAAGGGAAGATATATCTATAGATCAGGCGGCATTCGATTACAAATACGTGCGAAACGATCAGGGGTAGATTACGAAAGGCATTGATTGGAGGCGCATTAGATGCTCTAATGTACGGGGATAGTGACACGAGCACACGACTGATAACTACAAACTCATATCATCAAGATGTTTCATGACTAGCCTAGGGGGTTGAGTTCATGTACATCCAAGATTTTCTAATGATTTCCCAGGTACATGCTTTTTGAAGAGCTGACTCATTTCTCTGTCCTTTCACGGTGCGTCTTTGCCGGGTGTTTTTCCCCCCTCCAGAAAATACGTGAATATTTTGAGTGTTTCTCATGCTGTTTTCCCGTTGTACCCAGTTCACATCCATACAAGAGTAAAGACTCTCATCATCATGTTGCAGGTCCTTTGCAGAACGTCGCTCTCATCACGGTCTGCCTGAAAGAAACTCGGTCTCTCGCCAGCTCTCCAGCGTCATGCACTTTCACACTCAAGGAGTCACTTAATTCCTGTGCCCATCTTCGTGTTGGTCGGCCCCTGCCTCTCCTTCCTGCTATCATGCCCTCTGCTACAATTTTTCCAGTCCGTCGTGGCGCTTGATATGACCAAAATATTTCAGCGTCCGTAAAGACTCTACAGGACTTAATAATAGCATTTTTATTGACATGTTTTCTGGCCGGTTAAAAACTCATTTTGACTAAGCCAATCCTGGTCTATTGTCCATGATCCGTCGGATGCTCTGAGTTCCAAGAACCACTTCCAGAACATTGCTGTCACTGACTTGGATGCTACACTGACACTTCATGTCTTCTAGAGACGAAATTGCTGCTTTGCATCAAATCACGTCTACACCGACCTACTGTAAACCTAGTACTATTGCCTGCATCAATTTAGCAAGGTCGTTGCATCACAGTGACACATCCTAGCCAGAGAAGACAAACAAGTCTCAACACAATAGCAGCATCATTCTGTCGGTCTGCTAGTATGCAGCCAGCTCCTGACAAGCAAATAGGACATCTAAATAGTATAATTTGCAAGTATCTGAGTTTCGGATTTGTCTTGTAAAAAGACAAAGAACACCTACCAGTTTCTAAGATCAGTTCTAGGATTTATATACTGCAAAATAAAACAGAATACTATACGTTTTTAAGATACAGATTCTGGGATCTGCATCACAAAATAACATTAAAATGTATTGTTTCGCAGATCTGCATTCAGAACCTATAAAGTGAAATGATGTAGAACACATACCTGTTTCTAGAATCTGGATTCTGGGGTCTGTCTCGTCTACCGGAAAGCCGTCCTTGAGCCAGGTAATAGTGGGCTTGGGGTCGCCCTTGACGTCACACTGGAGAAGAACACTTCGGTCCTTCTCCACAGAGCGTAGCTTGGGGTGGGTCTCAATGCGTGGATATCCAGGTGGGAAATCTGTGGACACGTAGCAATAGTCAACACCTGTCCACAACGGCAGGACAACAGAAGAAAAACATCATCATCATCAAGTACCTTGTCGACTCAATCATGATGCCTCTCCTGCGATCTTTAAAAGCATGCATCAGTTCGTGTGTTGACAGCAATCCATACCACGCAAATAGGCTATCAAGAATCACCTCGCATTGTCTTGCTCTGTGTCTCTATCTTTCCAGTGGTTACATCTCCCAGTTTCCCCCTCCAATTACAAGGAACCCCCCCCCCCCCCCCCTCCCCATGAAAAAAATTACGACTGTCTCTTTCTGATATTTATTGTCTTCCAGCCCCTTTCGAAATATGGTGGTTGGGGGGGGGGGGGGGGGGGGGGGGGGGGGGGGGGGGGGTTCCATATAATTATATAATTCTTGTGTAAAACAGAAGAATATCTGTGTCAGTTCATGCGCTTCATAGCATCTGTTATTTCTAGTACACTGCATAAGACCTTCTGTGAAAGACTTCAGCACATCATTAGTAGCACTTGCCCATAACTGCAACTTCCCTGGTTGAACTCTTGTAACTTTAGCTGCCGGAGCAAAAGACAATCTAAACTAGAAGTAAAACTAGGAATAACAGGAATAACAAACACACAAATTATAAATGACAAAATTAGCGTTGTGGCTAGAAAGTCGTTCTCAGTATACAACATGTCGTTCTCAGTATACAACATGTCGTTCTCACTATACAACATGTCGTTCTCAGTAAACAACATGTCGTTCTCAGTATACAACATGTCGTTCTCAGTATACAACATGTCGTTCTCAGTAAACAACATGTCGTTCTCAGTATACAACATGTCGTTCTCAGTATACAACATGTCGTTCTCACTATACAACATGTCGTTCTCAGTATACAACATGTCGTTCTCAGTATACAACATGTCGTTCTCAGTAAACAACATGTCGTTCTCACTATACAACATGTCGTTCTCAGTAAACAACATGTCGTTCTCAGTATACAACATGTCGTTCTCAGTATACAACATGTCGTTCTCAGTATACAACATGTCGTTCTCAGTATACAACATGTCGTTCTCACTATACAACATGTCGTTCTCAGTATACAACATGTCGTTCTCAGTAAACAACATGTCGTTCTCAGTATACAACATGTCGTTCTCAGTATACAACCTGTTGTTCTCATTATACAACATGTCGTTCTCAGTAAACAACATGTCGTTCTCAGTATACAACATGTCGTTCTCACTATACAACATGTCGTTTTCAGTAAACAACATGTCGTTCTCAGTATACAACATGTCGTTCTCACTATACAACATGTCGTTTTCAGTATACAACATTTCGTTCTCACTATACAACAAGTCGTTCTCAGTATACAACATGTCGTTCTCACTATACAACATGTCGTTTTCAGAATACAAAATACACGAGGAAAGGTCCTCTGTCTCCATCCCCTCCCCCTCTTTTCCTCTTACCCCGTCCAGGCTGCTACCTGACATTCAGACACTCTTGATTGTGAATTTTAATGTTGGTGTCGTTAGTCGATTGTCTAGTAAACAATGGCAAACTACTGAACCCAACACTGCCTAACTGAACTCACAAACAGCCGGAAAAGCTGGGGCTGGTTCTGCAACGTCCTGTAAAGTATAGGCATCTAACTTGTTTTTTCTTTCTTCTTCCTTGTTACCATCTTTTATGGGTCTACTATTCGTTATATGACCCCCCCCCCCCACACACACACACACAAACACACAGACACACACTCATATACATACACAAACTGGATGGGAGGCGGTGCCATTTAGTTTGACGAACAGTAATCTTGTGAATTCGTGTTAATAATGTGACAGAAATGGCAACATAACGGGAGGTTTATAATTGCAGTGCAGGTGTTGGCAGAAACAAGGGCACATTTACAATGTTCTATCACATACAGCATTGTGCAAGAACTACAGCAATTAGACCTATCTTCGCCGGTTCACCGATTGTTAAAATCTATAGGAAATGTCAATAAACCCGAAAACAGACAAGCACTTTAACTGGCAGCAGACAGATGATTACACAACATCGATAACTAGGCTAGGATATCATATCTACACAACATCGATAAGCTGTCTTGAATAACACATTTAAAAAAAAAAAACATTAAACAAGGAAACGTAGTCTCTCTATCTCTCCCCCTCCCTCTCCATCAATATTCTTGATATACATATATATATATGTGTGTGTGTGTGTGTGTGTGTGTGTGTGTGTGTGTGTGTGTGTGTGTGTGTGTGATGCAGTGTTTGAAAGGCCCAAATGTAAGACAGGCATGCCTGCCCAATTTGTAACATTTTTGAAATCAAGTGGTTGTCTGGTTCATTCTCCTGTGGTGAAGATTTTCATAACGACTAATTCCTCGACTAACTGACAGAATTCTTCAACCCCTTCCTCAGATTATTACACATCTGTCTCTAATCCTTTTCTCATGGTTTATCGGTCTACATTTATTTGCTGTGCCCTCCAGATTCACAGGAAATTTCTTTCATTACTCAAAGATGTTCTCTAATGTGTGTCCTATCCAACACCAACGTCTTTCCCTCATCCCCTGAGATTATTTGGCTCTGTTCAGTTCTCTCACCAAAAGCTCTGGGAAAGGTGATCCGATAAGCAACACTGTGAATGACAACCCAGCATGAGAAATGGCATAACCCCCCCCCCCCCCAACAGCATATGAGGATATAATTAGGCCACCTGTTGCAAAGATGACCCCCGAAGCTCCCTGTGGCATACAATGACAGCAAGACTATCTTTCTGGCCCTACCTCCAGATTGTTAGCTAACGATTTCACTAATACATCACAGGTAATCATCAAACAGACACAGCCAATCTTAGAATCAGGCAACATCCACACACATCCCAATCATGGCACCAACCACGGTTACATCAAGTACGCTTACAATCTTAGAATCAGGCAACATCCACACACATCCCAATCATGGCACCAACCATGGTTACATTAAGTACGCTTACCATCTTAGAATCAGGCAACATCCACACAAATCCCAATCATGGCACCAACCACGGTTACATCAAGTACGCTTACAATCTTAGAATCAGGCAACATCCACACAAATCCAAATTATGTCACCAACCATGCTTACATTAAGAACGCTTACCATCTTAGAATCCGGCAAGATCCACACAAATCCCAATCATGTCACCAACCATGCTTACATTAAGAACGCTTACCATCTTAGAAATCAGGCAACATCCACACAGATCCCAATTATGGCACCAACCATGGTTACATCAAGTACGCTTATCCTTTAATTTTCCACAAATAGTAATGCTTGATTACTTTCTGAAATAGTAACACTCAGTGACACAAAGAGACCCTATTCGACTAAGAACCAAACAGTAGATATCTTTGAAACCCTGTTCAGAGAAAACATATACTTATATTAGGGCAACCGATTGTTAGGCACTAAGCTGCAGTCTAATTTGGGTGGATTGGAAAGTAGGCTCAGTAGTGCATTCTACAGGTTTGAGAAAAAAAATAATAAGAAGTTTTCTCCTTCCAGATCTGCATTCTATAGGATTAAAATCGCTAGGATGAAAACTAAACAGGTGCAAATCCCGTTCAACTGGTAGCCATAAAACACAGTTATACTGGAGCACCCCCACACAACGGTTACAAAGTAGCCTATAATTCAGTGTGGGTGTATTTAATGGAACTTGTGATGTGCGTAATCTTGAGTGAGAGTGTGCGTGTGTTTAAGTCTGTGTGTGTGTTTGTGTGTGTAAGTGTGAGGTGGGATGGAGCGGGGAGGCGGGGGTGAAGGTACCCAGGATGACTTAGAAGTTATGGACAATGCATATACAGCAACTAATGAAACATTATGAAAGTTAATATGTTATTAGTGGCTACCAATATTGTTTAACATTTCTTGTATTTAATGTTATTGGTTATTATTTTAGTTCTGACGTTCAATGCAGTTGTTATAGCAACGATGAATAACCAATCGCAACGCGAAGGACAGTTGGTAAACAAAGCATAGTATTTTTGTTAAGCAAGGGATATAACTGTAGTATTTTGTAGATAATGCTTCACATCAGCCTCAATTTGATTATTTCCCTTCTATACTACAAAATGGTTATACAATTATAACGACAAACATATTTGCACATGAATATACATTCTGGACCAATTAGGCGGGAACAACTTGCAACAATGAAGGCGCGAGCAATAACCTGGATAGAGATCTCACCACAAAATGAGACAAGCATATATCAACAAACACTAAAGCGAACAAAACTACGGCCCATAAATCATGTATTTCACCAACAATGAGACAGGCAAACAATAAACAAGGCATATAAATCGTGTAAGTCACCTACAATGAGGTAAGAAAACAATAAACAAGGCATATAAATCGTGTAAGTCACCTACAATGAGGTACGAAAACAATAAACGAGGCACAGATGTGTCCATGAATGAGATGAGAAAACAATAAATGAGGCACAGATGTGTCCAAAAGCAGGATTGGACTGGCACCT